AAAAAAAAAAAAAAAAAAAAATAGAGAAAGAAATGCTGGTAGCTTGAATTGTTTTCTACTGGCTGCTTTAGAAAAGATAATCTAAGAAAGAATTAACACAAAATAATTTTTAGTGTTTATTAGCCAAAAATAACAATAATTATCATTATTATCATTTTTTGTTTCTAACCAATAGAAAACAAGAATGTCTTCAGGAGATAAGGACCTATTCTAACTTGGTTCTTATGATACCTTTAACTTATTGGTAGGGCATAGATCTAAGATGTGATTTTCAAATTATTTATTAAAAAAATCTGTGTAGATTACTTTGTAAATGGATGAGTTTTTTAAAGTTGGATGAAGTGTGGTTGTTGCTTTTATTTTTATTATTTTTTAAATTTTTAGTGGCAACTTTAATTAAGAGGTAGATATTCTAGAATCCATAAAATATTTTTCCTTTTTTAATTGCCAAAAGAGAATAATTATTGTAAATTATAATGAAAGAAAGATACACTAAAAAATGTTGGCACTCAATGAACATATATATGTGTGTTTGTATATATATATATATATATTTTACATATACATGTGTTTATTGGTTATAATTCATTTTAATTTAAACATGAAGCTATGAGTTGATGTTCACATTTCCAACTAAACTCATAGTGACAGGTTTCCCCAGCACACATAGTGTACCATAATTTCTAATAACTTTTCTTTAATGGTACTCATTTTTCTAGTATTTTATTCTAAAAGGGAACCTTGTTTTGCTCTGGTAAATGAGAAAGTCATTTTCACTTCCTGCAAATAGAAGACTATCATGAAAATACAACAAAATCAAAATAATGCTATCAAGTCCCATTAGGTTCACCTAGCCTGCTTAGAGGTGTGAGTTGGAGGCTTTCCCCTAGTTGAAAAGAGAAATTAACCACACTGGGAGGTGGAAAGGTGAAAGCTTGGCACCAATCTGAGTCTTTTTCATGAGAAAAATTAGCACAGTGGACAGGGAAGGTAAAAAGAAGGCCAATTGAGGACATTGCTGTACACCTTCTAAAAACATCTCCTTGACATATAGAGGATTGGAGCCCAGCAAGAGGAAACAAGTAATGACCCTGGAGACACTGAGGGCCTTTTTACAGAGATCTTGTTGCTCAGAAAGATATCTAGAGGGCACTGTTGACAAACATCTCCTCCGGAACTGCCTGATTCACTCCTTTCTCTGAGAATAGCCCATCACCCACCACCCCTAGAGCTGTAGGGACAGCTGGTCCCACTAGGCTCACCAATCAGCTTCTTTCCTGTGGAATATGGAATAAAGACTTCAGACTGAGGCCAGAGTATGCTGAATGCTAAAGTAAGGATTTATGTTTAAAAAGATTGTTCCTACCGCAATGATCCCTGGTGTAGATACAGGGAGACCAGACAGAGAGAGATGAGATCAGAAAACCATAAGAGCTGTGAGGAGGTAGGTAGATGACTCCTGTGACCCCCGCTGCCAGCCAAGAATCAAGAGAGAGGCTAGAGTCCCCAAGGGGTGAGAGGTGAGCCAATACCTAGAGAAACCAGGAGCCCACAAGTTTCCAGCATCACCTCCCGGTACAGGGTCCTCTGGGCCAGGTCCAACTGTCTCCACTCCTCATGGGTGAAGGTCACAGCCACATCTTTGAAAGTCACCAATACCTGAAGTTAAACAGAAGTAGCATATTGACTTTGTGCTGTCAGATATCTATCATATCTATCTGATATCTATCATTCAGTTGCTGGTCAAGATGCAGAGAGACACAAGCATGAATCACTAGGGGTTCCTGAGGCCCAAGCTCTGTGCTAGGCTCAAGGGAGAGGTAGATAACTGCCTTTTAACATAATGCAATTGTGGCTGAGAGAAAAGCCTCCCATGGGGAAGCCAGTGGAGATGACATAGACAAAAGCAATCCTGTGATAAGTGTGGGAGGCAGACTATGCATGCTCTAGCACATCAAAGGACTGAAGGCAAATGATTATAATTGTAATTCTAAGCATGATTAATAGCAGCAGCAGCAGCTGAGCCCCGGGGTCCTCACTGTGTTCCTACATAGGCTGAGGCCTTCACATGCTATAGTAAAGCAAATAAATGTCTCAGTGCTGGAGCCAGACACCCCAGGTGAAATCAGCCTGTGGAATCTGACACTTGACTGCTGTGTGACCATGATGAGGATATCATATTATTTCTCTAAGCCTCAATTTCCAAACAATAATTATTCCCACTTCACCAGGCAGTTGTGAGGACTAAACATGTTCGCAATCACTGGAGTGCCTAGTACATGTAAGTGCTTGATATTCTGCAACTTTTACTAATCTTCCCACAGGAAGGCCCAGAGGGAAACACCATTATCACTTCCAAGTCATGTCACAGTCAGCAACCTGGAGCTCCAGCAGCTTTAGAACTCACCTAGTCTCAACATTTAAAAAGCAGAGGTAGGATTTGAACATCCAATAATAGACTTCACAAACCTGCCAAAGGGTATGCACATAGGGGCAAGAGGAATTTTAACTAAAACTAGAATCATCAGGAAAAGATGATCCTACAAGGGCCAGGGGAGGTGGCTCATGCCTGTAATCCTAGCACTCTGGGAGGCTGAGGTGGATGGATTGCTTGAGCTCATGAGTTTGAGAGACCAGCCTGAGCAAAAATCGAGACCCCATCTCTACTAAAAATAGAAAAACTGAGGCAAGAGGATCACTTGAGCCCAAGAGTTGGAGGTTGCTGTGAGCTATGATGCCATGGCACTCTACCCAAGGCAACGGCTTGAGACTCTGTCTCAAAGGAAAAAAAAAAGGCTTGGTGCCCGTAGCTCAGTGGTTGGGGCACCAGCCACATGTACTGGTGCTGGTGCGTTTGAACCCTGCCTGCACCTGCTAAACAACAATGACAACAACAACAAAAATAACCAGGCATTGTGGCACATGCCTGTAGTCCCACTTCTTGGGAGGCTGAGGCAAAAGAATCGCTTAAACCCAAGAGTTTGAGGTTGCCGTGAGCTGTGACGCCACAGCACTCTACCGAGGGTGACACAGTGAGACTATGTCTCAAAAAGAGAGAGAGAGAGAGAGACTATCCCACAGGTAACACTGATGCACAGGAAAGGTATGGAGGAGCAGCCCTGCAGAGATCTGAGGTCAGTGTCCTAGAAGGAAAGAAGTGCAAATGCAAAGGCTGAAACCTAACACAGAGTTGAAGAGTCTGGAAAGTTCAGGACTCCTTGGCTGAAAACAGTGAGCAAAGGGAGAATAGAAGGAAAGGAAGCAAAGATGGTTGAAAGGATCAAGCAGAGTGTTGCAGGCCATCTTGGAGGTGATGAACTTATTCTAAATGTGATGGATACAATAAAAATACTGAATCGTGCTGTTCTAGGTTTCAGGAAAGAGCAGGAATAGGCACTCAGATTCCAGTGCTGGAAAGAGACCCTAAACAAGTAATTAAAAAAATGAGCAAGACAGAGCGGCACCTGTAGCTCAGTGAGTAGGGGACTGACCACATACAAATGAGCTGGCAGGTTCAAACCTGGCCTGGGCTTGCTAAACAACAATGACAACTACAACCAAAAAAATAGCTAGGCGTTGTGGTGGGCAACTTGGCTCCCAGCTACTGGGGAGGCTGAGGCAAGAGAATCGATTAAGCCCAAGAGTTTGAGGTTGCTGTGAGCTGCAACGCCACAGCACTCTACCCAGGGTGACATAATTAGACTGTCTCAAAAAAACAAAGAAAGAGCATGTCAATGTAAGATGGCCCTAAAGATTCAGAAGACAAGAAAATAGGGCAAGGAGACCAAAGAGATTACAGTCCACTTTATTTATTTATTTTTGAGATAGTCTCACTATGTCACCCTAGATAGAGTGCCGTAGCATCACAGCTCACAGCAACCTCAAACTCTTGGGCTTAAGCGATTCTCTTGCCTCAGCCTCCCAAGTAGCTGGGACTACAGGCTCCTGCCACAATGCCGGGCTTTTTTGTTATTGTTGTTGGTGGTGCAGTTGTCATTGTTGTTTAGCAAGCCTGGGCCGGATTTGAAACTGCCAGCCCGGGTACATGTGGCCTGAACCTTAATCACTGAGCATGGGCGCCGAGCCTAAAGTCAACTTTAGATAGAATGACAGGGCAGGCCTCTTTAAGGCGGTGACACTAGAAGGAGTCTGAGGGACACAGTCCTGACAGTGGTCAGGGCCATAATGGGAGAAATCAGGGTAATCCTGGGCCTCATGTGTTAAAAATGTCCACTTCTGCACTCTTATCACGGAATATTTTAATATTCACCTCTCATCTACAACTCTCTCAGACAAGAAAATAGATTCACTACTGTCAGTTGTAACCAGTTCCCAACCACTTGTCCTAAACTTGAAAGAAAGATAAATTCCTTAGTCTGCCCTGACAATTTGTCCTAGCACAGCGGCAACCGCAAAAACCCTACTCTTACTCTTCCCCGCCACTGCCCTTAGCTTTGTAGAGACCATGATCCAGGGAAGCCAAAGCGTCAGACACCTGCTGGAGTGAGCCCCTAAAATCAGCCAGCGCCGAGGGAGCCATCTGCATGGGAACAACATCCTGAGCGACACTCCCGGAACGTGTTGAGCACTGAGGGGACAAACATCACCAGTATGCCATTTCTGTTTCACTCAACCCAGGGGAGGAAATGTCAATATCACTGCTTTCTGCCCAAAGAAATGAATGCCAAGGGCAGCAAGGGGCCATGCTCAAGGTCACAGCCACGGAAAGGGGCACGCTGGAATCCGCAATGGGTCTCCGGACTGCGGGTCACTTCACTCACAGGGTGGGGGTGGGGAGCTGTGGGAGAGCCCCTAAAAGTGGAGCGCAGTCCTAAGAGCCCCGTTTCACTGTCAACACCGCACCCAACTGGTCGCCAGAATTGGAGGCTCTCCCCATATAACACCGGCGTGAATTCCGGACCCAGGGCCAAATGGCCCGGTGCTAGTCTCAGAGAACCAACTGCAGGAACGTGGCAGTGCGAAGGGCCATGGAAGCCTCACAGCCTCAGGTCCCTAAGGACCGGGGCCGCCATCTGCTTACCCGCGCCGCATCCATCGCCGCAGCCAGCCGGCCGTGAGGAGAACGGGACCGCTTGCAGCAACCTCAAAAGCCTTTCTGGGTCCTACAAAGGAGCAGAGGTGGGCCGCGTTCTCCGCACTGTGCAGTCCTCGGGAACTTGGGCGTGGATAGCGCTCAGCTACACAAATACCCGCCCACACCAGGAACGCCGGAAGTCCCGCCCCTGGCTGCGGGGTCACTAGCCACGCCGGGTTTGGTGCTGTCTTGGTCCAGAGCGTGTCCCGGTTCCACTGCTTTCAGGGTAAAGTAGTTTTTACTTGTATCCCGCCAGGCTAGGGACGCTCTTCACACTCTGCTGCCGGTGCGGGGTTCCCAGAGGGGCCCTGGGAAACGCTGTCTCCGGGCCCCAGCGAAGGAGGCGAGGGCATGGGGAGATTAAAGGGAAGGCGCCCAGATTTTATGCGATTTATTTCAGGGTCTCTTAAGGGAACAAGTGGGTACGCTATTCTGCATTTTAAAAACTTCTTTCTGGGCTGGTGCCCATAGCACAGTGGTTACGGCGCCGGGCACTTAAACCCAGGCTGGCGGGTTCCAACCCGACCCAGGCCAGCTAAACAACAAAGACAACTGCAACAACAAAAATAGCCAGGCGTTGTTGCGGGCACCTGCAGTTGCGGGTACCAAGTAGTTGGGAGGCTGAGGCAAGAGAATCGTGTAAGCCCAAGAGTTGGAGGTTGCTGTGAGCTGTGACGCTACAGCACTCTACCGAGGGTGACATAGTGAGACTCTGTCAGAAAACAACAAAACCCTTCATTCTGTTCTGGTGCTGCAAAATCCCTACAAACTGGCTGTGAACGCCCTGCCCAGGCCACCAGGTGCACCGGTGTGATAAGCCAACAGATCCCCTTTTTGCACTCCAGTCTACGTATTGACATTCAAGCACACCAATCAAGTCTCTTTACTATCTTTTTACTTGAGCATTCCACCCTGTACCCGAATAAAGGCACTTTTCCACGAATCTGAAGTCTTTCTCAGCTCCCCATTTATGTGGTTGAGTCCCCTGTGATATGCCATGCCTATCTCTGTAGGACCAGCGAGTATAGTAAATTCTTTAATTTTATAGGCTTCTCCCACCATAATTATCAAGGCCATATTTGAGTGATTCTTAGAGACCCAATAAGGATATACACACATGCCCTCATTTAAGTCATGTCATCTACAGACAATTAATTGTTATACTTCAATGCTTTCCTGAGGGCATTTGCAAGAAACTACAATCCTAAAGTGCACTTCATCTTCAAGGAGATCCATAGAAAAGACTCTGACAAGTATAGGTTCATGATAACTTTAAGATACTATCAGATTGGGTGAGACTTTTCAGAACTCTAATGAAACAACTGATGGATTTGTAACTGGCTCCATAAGCAAGAAAACCTTTTTTTTTTTTTTAAGTTCTCTTTTGTTTCAAGTTCCCAGGCCAGAAAGATTTGCTGATCACAGCTTTGTAACTTCCTGTCGAACTGATACATTCCTTTTTTTTTTTTTATGTCTCAAGTAAGAGGCTTTAAAGTTAATACTAATGTATTACAGTCTGTAATAATACATAGTAAATTATGTTAAAAAACAATAAAATCTTATAAGAAACTGAATGGATTAAAGTTTAATAATTCTCTTAAATAAACAGACTACAATAGAACTGTAGTTGCTAGCTAAGCTCCATCAATTTTTTTAACTCTCTTTGATTTTTTCTCCTGATCTTCTGTTATCCTTTCTGCAGGTCGCTTCTGCAACCCCTTCATTTTCCTGGTTTGTAGTTTGCTTAGGTCTTGCTTCTGCATATGAATCGTTCCATAAGTTGTACCAAAAGTGTCATGGGAGATATTTTTCTTCTTCTTTGGCTTGAAAGCTTTTGGCATTTTCATAGATAATTTATAAAGGTCATCTGATGCTAGGTGTGTCCTTCTCAAAACTAGATCCAGTGAGGGTCCCATTTCTTCCAATTTGATCTGGAGTGTTCTACAACCAGATTTCTTCAACAGCAACTTATAGCTTCGAAAGTAAATCTTCCCATTCAGTGCAGTGAAGTGCAGAACGTACTCTAATCCAGCCAGGTGGATATTTGATACTGTGGGTCCTCTAATTCGATCACATCCAGCACATGATAGTCATACATACGACCTATTACTAGATTATTTGGCTGCTTCTTATTATGGCAACCAAACATGAATAAAGAACAATCCGACTTCTTTGAAAAGAATTCCAGAGATGTCTGATCCTCAAATGGTCTTGTAATATTTTTCTTTTTATAAAGAACACCATATGGTTTTTTCAGGGCATACACATCTCTCAGTACTTGTATCACTGTTGCATTTGCATTTCCTCCTTTAATCAGCATGGCATTTTTAATATTTTCATTGAGTTTTGGTTCTCTCTTCTCAAGGAATCTTTTGGCTCTTTTTGTCTTGGGCTTTACAACTCGATCCAAAGTGTCCATAACTAGCAGTCTCCTCAAATCCAAGCTGGAACCTGATATATTCCCTTTTGAATTTATTCCCAGGAGCAGCAGAACTTTCTTGGCCGGAAAAGGCAAGATAAGCAATGTGCCACTGCAGATTGTGCCCAAGAACCCACTGAACCTGCACACAAGGCTAAAAGAATGACCAGTATTAACACCTAGCTCATGGCTCGGCGCC